CGGGCACGCCTCGGGCCCATGACTTAGGCTAAAAATTCATGCAAATATATAAGATTTCAAACAAGGGCAAAACATCCAAAATGTAAAACAGCATTCAGATAAAAATGCCCGAAGGCGATAAAACAATTATAAACCGACCAAGAAGGCCGGCGATGTTCATAACGTACAACAAACGGGCACGCAGGCCCAAAGAATACAAATGTCAAGGGCACGCAGGCCCGCTATCCTAGTCAGGTCTCCCCAGAACCATCATTGTCGACGCTGGGAGAGTCGGGCGGAGGAACGGTCACGCCATCCACGATCTGATGTGTGTGGCCGATACCCTCAATAACCAGACCAGGGTTTAGCAAGGAGAGCTGACCGACCGCGGAGTTGAACCCATCCTCCAGGGCACCGACGCAATCTGCCTCGAGGAGCCGGATATGGGCGACAAGCTCCAACCGACTCTTCAAAGCCAATATGTCCTTGGGCTCGTCCTCGGCAGGTTGCATGGCAGCGTTCATTTCCTCGATCTGCTGGGCCAAGCGTCCGACTTCGGCCCCCAGACGATCCCTGTCTGCCCGGAGAAGCTCCCCCTCCTCGGCCAACTTCCCCGACTTCTCCTTCTCCAGGGTCAACATCTCCCTCTCAGCATCGAGCATCGCCGTCTGCTCGCGGAACATCTCCTCGGAGCGTTCCAGAGCGATCTTCAACTTCCGCGAGCTCGAGGTCAGGGCCGCCTTCTCCTGCTCGAGTTCTTCGACACGGGCAGGATCCCCTCCTTCCTCGGATAGCACCAAAGCCATCTCGGCCATTTTTACCAGCCCGTCCATGCTGGCGGCCAAATGCGTCTTCCGGTCCTCTTTACTCATCTTTTTTATAGCTGCAGCCTCGTCGGCAACCACTGTCAGAGGGAATCTCTCGAAGAAGCCCGCCTCTTCGAAGCAAGGGGGGAAGGCGAAAGATTTAACGGCACTGGCGTCCTCGCCAACAGTCGGACCACTTTCCACACGGGTCCTCTTCCTCTGTATCAGGACGGCACTAGGGTCGACCTCTTCAACTTCTGGGGTCCCATCCGACGCGGCCCCCGAGCTTGACGGCGAGTCCACCCTCACCGGCTGAGGAGCACTTGGACTGTGTGGTGGGCCCATCCTCGTCGCCTGTGGGGCCTTCACGACCCTCCTGCCTCGCTTCTGATCGCAAGACAATTTCAGAAGCCTTTCGTGTCGACCGGCCATCGAACCTGCACAAAATAAAAGTTGGGTCAGTATCGAGCAAACTCATAAATAAATGACGAGCAAAGAAATTCAAGCAATAAACGACCTAGCAGACGCGCAGCCTGCCTGTACGTCTCGCACTCCACGAGTGCCTTGGTGTCAATCGGCCGGGACTCAAACGTTGGGTAACCCTCTGCGTCCAGGATGTCGTCCCCTTCCCTCGTAGCCCACCGGGCAGGATGGAAGCTATCGACAAACCGACAAAGGGCGGCGTACGCCTCCTCGTCCTCCGAGCACATGTCCCCGACGGCAGTGTGGTAGTAACCAGTCCCATGCTCGTAGTGCCTGGATAGCTAGTGCACAGGGAACTTAGCCGTACGTGCCATCACAAGACTCCCATCGTCGCCCAAAACCGCCTCCCCGTCTTCATCGCTTAGAGCCTCCTCCTCCTCGTACAGGGTTTCTAAAGCCGAGGTGGTAACTGGCCGTACAACGTACCACTTGTCTTTAAAACCCCGGACGGAGTCCATATACATTTTGAAGAGTCTCCTCGACTGCTTCAAGGAGACCCAGCTGTGTTTCCCTCCTCGGGACTGGCGCTGCAGATGAAAAATCCGGAAGAAGAGCGGTATGGTCGCCCCGATCCTCAGATAGCGACACGTCAGCTCAAACGCCCGGATGAAGGCGAGTGAGTTTGGATGTAGCTGGGACGGGGCCAACTCCAGGTGAGTGAAGACCCCGACCTAGAAATCAGTGAAGGGCAGCCGCAACCCAAGGTCTTTGAACGCGATCTCGTACATCGCGAAACTATATTCTGGATACACCGAACAGATCCTTGAACGGGAAGACGGGCGCATGACTACGAAGTTCTTTCGGAAGTCAGGCTGGCCCTGGCCCGCTTCGATTACAGCGTACGGATTTCGGTCGCCCCAACTGTAGACCGACACGATCCCCCGGGACTCGACGCCCACCCATTCCAGCAAAGGGTCAGTCACAGTATCAATCAGGTTGACCGACTCATCGGCGCTTTGTTCTTCACGATCGTGGCGCCCGGAGGAGCTCGGCTCGTCCGCCATGGTTACCTGCAGAGCACGGGAAACCAGTCAATTGGGCACGAAGCCATACGCTCGACAAATCACGACGTCCCATTCACGACCACATAGTCCGTTTCCACGAATGGTTGCCTCCCCGACATCCTGAAACTCGATGTGCTCTTCCTCAAACCAACTAAGCGGTCACTCTCCAACATGTCGACCCAAGGTATGAATATGGCGAGCCACACCATGAGGCCCACGGCCAAGACCATGAACATACCGGGCGCGATCATGAATCAGGCGCCCTGGGTCATGAAGACCCCGGGCAGCGCCGAAGTTTATCACCTAAAACTATGAATACGCCGACCACGAACATGCGTTTGCCGGTCCTAGGCATGAATACGTCGGGCTAAGTATGAGTTTACCGGGCTAATCCCACGCGCACAGTCCCTAAAGCATCTACAAACGCCAGAAATCATGCATTTTAACAGGAAAATGAAGAAGATAGACCACTTACTTGAATCAAAAAGAAGGATTTGGCTACGGAGTAGAAGAATCGGTGACAGAAAGTCGCAACTGGAGAAGATCTGGAAGAGCAGCAGCAGAGAGAGCACAGAGAATAGAAACGTGTTATGGGGCCCAAGGTTCCTATTTATAGTGATGACGTGGAATACCAAACGTCACCTCGGGCAACCACGGACTCCCTCTCCTCGACGCGCTGCTCCCAACGCAATGATGACCCTATCCCCATAGGGTGGCGGCACAGTTCCCGAAAGATACCTCGTATGCTCGACAGACGCGCCCGGTAAGGACCCTCCAGGCATCCACCACGGAAGATGTCTCCGAGCACGACACGAGGAGGCCCTCGAGGGCCCACACCTCTGTCCCGGGCACGAGACCTCGATGAGGAAGCGACCTGAGTTCAAGTCATGGCTCCTCACAAAGGAACCATGACTTGGGGGGCTCCTGTTCTGGACTGGGCCCGACAGGCCCAAAAGCATTGCAAAGGCCCAGTCCAAATGGACTTACAAGGGCCACGCCGACCAAAGAGTGAGACCGTGCCCGACGCGCAGTCGCTGGCTCGATGATACGCCTCCAGCTCGACATGAGGTGGTCCAGCACCACAGTCTGAGGTCCAGCTCGACGTTACCTCGAGCACCCCAGCTAGGGCAGACTCAGTTCACTGTTCCCCCAACGATACTCCGAAAAGACCGCGTCTCCGTCCGCCCGCACTTCACGCAGAACATCCAGGAAGGGGACCACGTGCGGGTCCCCACTACGCACGTAGAACCTGGCAGTTCCTCCATTGGGCCAAACCTGCCCGACCCAATGAAGGAACCTTGGCCCAGCGCTGGGGGCTATAAATACCCTCTGCTTCCAGAGGGTCAGGTATTCATCATTCTAACCTTACACTTGCTATTATATGCTCGTACTCCTACTTACTTCAGCATCGGAGTGCCTTGCAGGTACCCCCCCCCCCCACCTCGTTCAAAAAAGCTTTCTGCTCGGAGCCAGCCGTGACGGTCCATTTCTGATCAAGTCAGATCAATTATAATATAAGAATGATGTAAGAAACAATTATGACAATATTTTAAAAAAATTGATCCAATTTTTTACAGCAGTTGGAAGTAATAACCGATGTAAAAGTCCTTAGTGACGCTACTTTTTACATCGGTTATTACTCCCAACCGATGTAAAAAGTCCCTTTTTGAAAGTTTTTACATCAGTTTTGAGTAATAACCGATGTAAAATGTATGAAATTTTTTGGGAATAGATTATTTATTTTCTGGATGTTTCCCTGTACAGAAATAATTTGTACCCATTTTTTCATATTTTTCCAATATCACACAAAATATATTTATGTCGCTATATAGATTTCATAGCTTTCCAACATCACATAGACCACATCTAGGTCGATGTTTTCATATTTTTCACAACAAACTTACAAATTGAACAATTGTATTGCAAACTTGTATTGTATTACAACAGACAAACTCACAACAAACTTACAATTACAAATTCTTCACAAAATATACAAAAATATTCAACTATTTATAAGTCTTTTTCAAAACTTACAACTACATATTATTCACAAAATATACAAAAATATTCAACTATTTCTATGTTTTCAAACTTGAATTACCAATATAAAATCTTCGGTAGACAACACCAAAATCACATTGCCTGACAATAAATAATAACAATTAACATCAGCAAAAAAAATCAAGAAACTCAATACATGTGCAAAAACCACATGTAATTGTGCAAAAACCACAACTTAGACAATTCTATAAAACTCACCAAGATAAACTTAATTTTCATGTAACTCAAAGAAACATTTTGCCCAACGGAGTCGCAAATCATACAAATCATCTGTACAACCAATCCACCTGTAATTAATATTATAACATCAAATCAACTATAGTGAAATCTCTTCAATCATGTTATAGCTTCCCACAAATGTAATGAAAATTTGGAAAATAATACCTTCTGGTGATAAAAGAAAACTCTAAAAACCACTGCCCACATATCAGCTGTTAGAAGTGATAGGTTAAACATTGTTGATCCACTCAACTGCATGACACAAAATTCCACTTTGTTGTAATATTCTAAATAATATCATATTGTCGCAAAAAGAGACAGTCGTCTTAAGTTTTTAGAGGTTCTGTATAGGTTAATTGAGACTCTATTTAGCCACAATTTAATAATATTTAATAGTAAAAAATTGAGACTATGTGTGTCTTACACGACCCCAAGCCTCAAAGACGACCTATGTCACAAACAAGTTCATGAGAAGGAAACTAAGCTTAAGAACAAAGGGAGCAAATGAGTAAAAGATGAAGCTTGACACACCATAGCTAGCAAAGGCAAGTACCTGTTAAGGAATTTTGATATATAGTATAAACATTCAATTATATACAAATATGAAATTTCAGTGTTTTTTACTATACTTAAAATGATATGAGAATTGACCACTTACAATATTTGCAGACCATTTGATTGATTCCAGAGTCTTCAATTCTAAAATACATCTGTCAAATAATGGAGTAATGGAAGAAACTAAACCAAATTTAAATTTTTAGTATTAGGTTTCCTAATTCGCACCAAATTAGAATAATAAGAAGGATACACTTCAACCGCGGTAACTAGGAATCCATAAACACCGAGCATTGCAACTACTTCAACACGATCTTTTTTCTTAACACAAAATTCCTGCATTTTATAACACCATATTATATCGAGTTAGATTATTCATTATTCCGCAACATAAATGATTTTCATTATTACTAGCATGCTGACAGACAGACAGGCAAACACATACCTCGCCAACATTGCTTATTGCATAGAAAACTGTCCCTACAATAACAAGTTCATCACCCAAGATAATTTTTGATCCACCTGAAAATTTTAACTTTGGAATCAAGTTATTTGATTGATTAAAATTTTCTCTCAAAATAGGTTGAATAAATGAATGTGACTAACCTCCATCACCACCATTCCAAGTGTCAGAAAGTAAGACTAAAGAGAGACCAAGCACACACAATGTTCCACCAAATAACTGCCATAGTGAATATCTTGTGCCAAGGAAGATCCATGTCAGTAGAATCACCCAAGGCACTTTCCAACAATCTAGTAATGTTACACTTGTAATTGTACTGTACTGATATGCTTTGATAACTGCATACAAAATCATCAACCAGGATTCAACTTAAAGTGTGAGACCAGTGTTGTAGGACACCTTGCACACCATCAAAGATGGCCCTAGTAATAGCAATACATAAGCACTTATAACTTATATGGTAAGCATGTATGCTATAAGCGGTTAACTTTTTTTTATCCAAACAAGACCTAAAGCACATACCTTCACCTCCGGCGACCAATGATCAACAGCAGTCAACGCACAAGGAATCGCCCATCCACACAATTTTCCCAAATGAGGATAATCAATCTATGACAACACAATTCAAATCCCAACATCATCAATATCTTAGATACACATAACACAGGAAAAAAAACCATCAAACACTAGTACCTGAGTAACAAACCATCTAAGCTGATGAGCAGCAAGAATCCCAAACCCAACGGGAACTCTAGCAGACGCGGCAGAGAACTCATCACTCTCCTCAGACTTATCAATTGCACTCTCCTTAATTCCATATTCAGAAAAGGAAGTACTTCAGGCAACAATTCCAGAAGCAACCTCTTATGTACAGGAACCAAATTACAATCCAAATCGAACTCTTCCACCTTCTGAGAGTTCCTATCATCGAAGACTGTGAGGTACGCTTGGGAGAGCTCTAAAAAGGAAGCAGTTGCAAGGGAGGAAAGGTGATCGGGGATCCATGAGAGAAACTCTGAATTGGCGTGTGTGGAAGAGGATAACAAAGCACATGCTAGAGCGAAGTCTTTGATGGAAGCGTTGATGGTGGAATTTATGGAAGTGAGAAGGGGTTCGAGAAAGGCTTTGACGAAGATGTTGGAGGTTTTGTGAGAAGTGTATGGAGTTGCGGCGAGAGAGTTTGCGATTGAATTCGATAACCTAATCAGGTGGAATCAAATGGAAAATTCACTGTGAGGAACGAAGGTTGAGTGAGAGAGAAATAGAGATGGAGAGAGAGGTGTCTTACCGGAGGAGAGTGTCTCGGAGAGTTGAGACTGATGATTCCGACATTGGCTACTGATTAGGGTTGCGCTTCCAACACCGGCGGGAATTTTCCGACAACAATGACACCGTAACTGGTTTTGCCGAGTTGGCACTGGGAGCGATTTTAGAAAGAAACACTACTATTTCATGAATTTAATAATATGAATAATTTATATTTTCAGATAATAATTAAGTTAATATTGTTATTTCAAATATTACACATAAGAGATACAATATTTTTTACATCGGTGGAAAAAGGCCCGATGCAAGCGTGTTACACCTTTTTACATCGGTGGAAACAAATGACAGATGTAATGGTTTGGTACGTTGCAGTTTTTACATCGGTGGAAACACAGGATCGATCCAAGCGTGTTTTTATGATGTTTTTTACATCGGTTGGTAGGTGGCCCGATGCAAGCGTGTTTTTATGGGTTTTTTACATCGGTTTAAAATATGTCCCGATGTAATTTTTTTAATATATTTTATATATTAACAATCTGCCTGTGAACCTTTTACATCGGTTTTTAGTTAACCCGATGTAATATCTTACTTGTTTTTTATTTACATTTTTGCCACCTTGTTTCTTATTTACAAAAATGCCACCGTATTTTTTCTGAAAATCTTTTATATCGGTGGATGAGATTGCCCGATGTAATAGGTAGCGAAAAATATTTTTTTTCTTATTTTTTATATCATTGCAAATAAATACCTGATGTAAAATGTTTTTAATGATATTTTTTACATCATATATTTTAATACCTGATGTAAAAACCTTTTCTCAAATGTCTTTTTTTTAATAGTGCGTCGAAAACATTTTTGCAAAAATATTTAAGAACGAAATGAAGAGATGAGTGATAACTGTAATGAGTGCCAAATAAGAAAACCATACTATTTATAAGAAAATCATTAAAATAATTTAATACTTAGCAAAAACGAAAAAAATAATAAAATAATAAAAAATTCCACCAATTAAAGTGACAGATCTATAATTTATAATAAAATAATTAAAAACTCTATCAATTATAATGGCAGATCTGTCTTTAAATAATAAAATAATCAAAAACTCTACCAATTATAATAGCGGAGTTATACTTAAAAAATAAACTAATCAAAACATCTGTCAATTGATATACTTTGCACTTGAACAATATTAAATTAGTTATTGAAACATATTTATTTATTTATATTTATTATAATTAAAATAAGTATTATATATAGTTATTTATTATTAATTATAATATTTATTTGAATATTTATTTAATATTTTTTAATATTTATCATTATTATTTTTAATATTTATTTTAATTTAAACACATTATTATTATTATTTTTAATATTTATTTTAGTATTGGTTTATTTTTATTTTCTGGCAGAGACACCCAACCACGCTACTCGTTAGAATGTCGAAGTAGATAATGGTGGCACACACGTCTCATTGGATAAATTATTATTTCTACCAAAACTTAGACACTTGTTACCAAAGTGTTAATGTCTTATGCCATGCAAGTATGCATTATTTAACAACACAAAAATTGTTATATCACATTTTGGATGATTAAGATTCAATCTTCAGGCAGGAATT